CAAAAACCATTTAATATCAACTGCTAACTGGGACCATTTAAAAATACTCCTGCAAACATTTCCCTGGGGACCCCACACTGACAAACTAGCTACCCCTATTCCTCAGCCACCCAAACTGAACCGAGCAGCCCATGACACTGGTGCAGAGTGATTCTGATTCTTTCTCTTCATCTTCTTCTGACATATGTCTCCTTTTCAGTGACGCAGTGTCCATCTCCTCAGATTAAGAATGGAAGGATTGTGGCTGGAATTTCCAGCACCTACAGATATAACCAGAAGGTTAGCTTTGAGTGCATTGGGGGCCACAAGATGGTTGGCTCCAGAGAGATCCATTGTGAAGTGGATGGTACGTGGGACCCTCCCGTACCTCTCTGTGAACGGGGTAAGTAATGAATCTGGATTTTCCATTTTTTACCAATATTCAGAGCTCTGATCTGTTTCAATTGTGCATTCCACATTCCTTCACTCACAGTTAGTGGAAAATATGGTCCTTGTTGCAGCCAGGAGAACAATTTGTATCTTACCCTTTTCATCTGATTATTCAACTGTTGGCAAACTCATATCAACAATATTTATTTAATACAAAGTATGCATTATATTAATTACAGACAAAAGAACTCTCCTCTCCTCTCCTCTCCTCTCCTCTCCTCTCCTCTCCTCTCCTCTCCTCTCCTCTCCTCTCCTCTCCTCTCCCCATTTAGGAAAAACACATTCAATGTGAAGCACTGCAAATATGTAGGTTTGGAAATTCCAGCCATCTGGCCCATTACTGAACTGTGCAGCAATTAGTGTACAATATAGGGTCTCTATAGACTCCTTTATTCTTGTCATGATAAAAGTTCACAACTAGTCAGTAGGTAAAGGGGGATAGAACAATTTAATACTCTTCAACTACAAACATTGTTCCTCTACTAGTCAGCGATAAAGACGATAGTGAGCTGTGGGCAATGCACTGAGAGGAAGAGAAATCATAAATTTATCTAGGTGATTAATGTTTTGCAGAACTTCCTCATGTTCTTTCCTTGATTGCTTTTACTGCCTTTGACCTTATAGCTATTCTTTATCCCTTTCAGAATTCTTTTATTGTTTTTAATCTCAACTCTTCCCATGCATTGACTTAGTCTCTCTGACCTGCAATAAAGATCTCCTGTCTGATCTCTCATGAGCATATCTCTGACCCAATTCTCACTCTTATCTCTGTCCATCAATACCCAGCTGAATCCTATCATGGTCTTAGGACAAGATCTGTTTCTACCTATGTTTATCCTCTGCTCAGTGAATTCGTTCTCAGGGAGGTCATTATTTTCACAGGGTTGGACCAAATGTAACTGTTACCCTTTTATTTTCAGTTTCCAGTTGTGTGACTCCAGACATTCAGAATGGAAGAATGATTAGATCCAAAGCAAATAATCAAACTCTATCAACAATTACATTTGAATGTGATCATGGCTACACCATGAAAGGCAATCGTACAATTCAGTGTCAACATGACAACACATGGGATTTTCCAGCACCCATCTGTGTCAGGGGTATGTAGTAAAGCTGGATTTCATCAACCCTTCTCATAATTAGAAAAACTAAGTAGTTTTTTTTTCCCTCCCTTTCTTGCTAATTTCTCGGTGAACAGTAAATGTGGAAGCATCCTGTAAGTTTGCAGCCCCTGCAAAAATGGAAAGGCAATTCCTGCTAGAGCACTTGATTGTTCCACGAGACAACGTGAAACATCCATCCAGGGTTTTTCTTGTTAAATGACAGCATACAGTGAGAAATGAATGCCAGTGCCCATTCACCCAGTCTGGAAGGATGCTTTGGCAGATTTCACAATCCCTTCTTGAGGGAGAACTGCTCAGACTTGAAAGAAATGTATTAGCCCAAAGTATATTCTGAATCTGTTTTTCTTCCCAATCTTCTCCCTTCTTCTTCTAGTGCTGCAATGCCAGCCACCCCCAGACATTCAAAATGGGACTCGCAGCAACCAGGAAAGAACAGGATTTCCCAGTGGAATGCTTGTGAAATATACATGCAATCCCGGATACGCTCTGATTGGAGAGGCAACTATTCATTGCATGGACGATGGCAGATGGTCTTCTCCTGCCCCTAACTGTGAAGGTACATTTCTTGAGATAAGCTGTATTGGCTACTGAAGTGGTGAGATACAGAAGTAGAGAATCAGTATTTACCCTGGTTTCCCCTTTTTTATTCAATGGGTTGCTTCTAGATAAAACTTTAATTTAAGGCTGCTTCAAAAGATGCTGAGGAACAAGATATTGGAAAATTTAGACCCAGAATTCAGTAGTATGAAAAATTCACTAGAGAACCCCAAAGTGCAATTGGTGCACTTATGAGGTAAAAAGAGAGGCAAGTGGGTGTTTTATTTTGTTTTTACAATTAGAAAGCTTTTGTTTAGCTAATTTCCTGTGTTCATAAGAGCTCAGTAGTCTTCAGGTGCATCTTCATAGGAATTATCTAAAAGTGGAATTTACCTTCCTTGGGTTGATGAGGGAATGAGATACAATGAATGCTTATTATCTCGTGTTAATTAGTCATTACTGTTCTTTCAAAGTCATTACAAAGAATTGATACAACAACTTGCATATATGAGACACTTTTTTTCTTATTGGAAGTGTTTGTCCACTTGACAATATTTTTTCCTTGAAGCTTCGGTAAATGTCAGGTTCAGCCCAAGAATTACAATGAGACAGTTCAGAAATCAGTCCAGCTTCTTTATTAGCTTGCACCTAATAGACAGAATCTCGAGAGACTAACTCTAATCCCCCCAACAACAGCAACTATAACCATCATGCCCTTAGGGAGGGGCCAGTCTCTTTCTCTTGACTTTCCCACAGTCCACCTGGGGGCTGAGGAGATGCTTCCCTTGGAATGTTTCTCCCCCTTCCCTGTAACCTTGAAGCTCCATTCCAGAATCCTCCCTGCTCATGCCTTCCATCACAGTAAAATATTTCTTGTTAGTTATCTTCTAGTAAGAGGCAGATACTTCAAATGTTATAACCTTCTTACTCCATGGCTTCTGGCAGCATACAAACTCTCCAGTGATGAAGGATATTGCCTTCATTTATTCCAGACCTGTTCATTTCAGTGAGTGTCCTTTAAGCTGAAGCACACTTATGAGGAAAAAGGAACATTTACTCAACTGGAGAGGCTGCTGTTCAACAAATTTCCTATACCAACAGTTCTCACCACTAGGCATGTTAAATTTTAAAGGCCTACAGTACAATATTTTCTTTTTATTCTTAGGGTGTTATATATTACTGAACATCTGAACATCTTGATAAAGTAACTTTTCCCCAGTTAATACAATAAATATAAGAAGGATGACTCTGGATTTTTTTAGTAAAGGAAATGAACCAGAGGTTTGAACCACAAAATCTGACAATAACCACTGAAATATTTTTTTTCCTTTTTTTTTTAATCAGGAGGCAACTGTGACTCCCCCATTAGATTAGACTTTGCAGAGCTCACTGATGAGTATAAGAAAATGAATTCCTTTCCTGTTGGGTCATCGGTGAAATACAAATGCCACCCAGGTTATGTTAAGCATCCTGGAATGAATGCCTCTGCTACCTGTCTCAGGAATCAGGTGTGGTCAGAAGTTCAAGAATTCTGTAAAAGTGAGTGCTTTGTTTTTGTCCCCCCACCCCCACCCCATTCTTGGGCATAGGACCCAACATCTTTCATTTTTTGAACATAATGTGAATATATTCATACAATATGTACAGTAGTTATAAACTTCAGTTTTGAATGTCTGGGCATAGGAAAGATATAATTTGTTTTCTTTTTTGCTAGAAAAATCATGTGGACATCCAGGAGAACCAGAAAATAGCAGGCTGATTGTATCAGGAGATTTTCTCTTTGGTTCCACATTAAATTATACTTGTGAGGAAGGGTAAGTATAGGCAAAACTAGTCAGGTTTTCATTTATTTTGCAATAAGACTGTTGGATGGAAATTTTCGTCCTGATTTCTCAGAGGAATGGCCTTTGAGTCAGGATCAGTTTCCAAGAAGAGTTTTATTATGGTCAGCTGAGCAGACACAGTTTCAAAATAGGTATGTGCATCAGACAAAGAATTTAGTAACTTTTTATAAGCTTTTGCATGCACATGTGTACTACTACCCTTTTTTTTGCAACCCTTTGGAAAGTTTCTTTGGAATGTTTCTTATCAGTTTTTTACCGTATATAGACAGCCACTCCCTCTTTCTAAGCCCCGCTGCGTACATGTCTCTCTTGCTTTAGCCTAATGGAGTATTTCTTTGCAAGCATATTTACAGAAGCATATGGCGTTCAGTAGATTTAAAAATATCCTTCTTCAAGAATATTCTTCCATTAGTAAAGGATCACATCCTTTTGGGAGCAAAGAGCTCAGATCAGACTTTCAGAGTATACCTCCCAGCCCTGATGGTAATGAAAAAGGTCTTCACAGAAGTACGGAATCTTCACCCCAGGCACACATGAAACACAAAAGCGTATCTCCCCATACATGGGCAGATACACTCATTCCTACTGACATACATGCTGAAGTACACACAATATATGCAGGCAGTCCTTTTGTGAAGTAGATACTTGCACTATAACACCTCTTCTCCATTGTTCAAAATTGCTCCATTTTTCTTCCTCTGGGTAACAAAATAAAAAAAATTGGAACTGTTTCTGCTGGAATGAAACTGATAATCAAGACGCTGGTGAAATAGTTTTCATTTAGCAGTCATGACCACTAAAAATGGAGCAAATTTGGATCTTTCCATTGAGATGTAGTTGAATAAGGAAGTTTCACTGCTTTGGGGTTGGTCCCAGCAAAAGAGCACATAATTGCCAATGAGTGACCTCGCTGTTTCCTCCTTGCCATCATTGTCTCCTTCTCACACTATTGCCATTACTCCTCTGTCACCCCACTTTCCCCACACCACTGCCCACATATCTGCCTCTCAGCTCGTTTACTCCTATGGTAATGGCTGTGGATGTTTGGTTCAGGTCACTTTGAGGCCTGAGAAAGAAACTCCAGTAAATTTCAAAAGCTGACTGGACAAAACAAAAGCATGTAGTGAGAGAAAGTTCAGGAGGAAATAGCCAAAATATGGTTTGCTTTTGCCATAGTGTATTGCACAAGCCCAGCCATAGGTGTTTCATTTAATAGAACATGGCTTTATGCAAAGTGTGAACCCAGTGAAACTATTAGTTACAGGTTGCACATTTTCACCCTGAAGATAATTACAGACTTCAAAAGAACTTAATACAGGCAAATAGGATTGCACTTTAGTGTGGAATTATAGCACAATCTATTGATTTCTTCAATTTATTCTTCTTCCCTAGTAGATATGATTAATACAAGTCGCTTTTTTAGCATTTATGTGCCCAGGAGGCTATTTTACATTGAGAGGGTTAGATTGCTTGCCCAAACCAGATTGGGTAATTGAGAAAATATGTAATTAGGAACCAAAGGTAGGATATTGTAAGAGGAATCTGCAAAATACTGGCCTGGAAGGGATATTCTTTCCTGTAATAATTCCTTAACATACAAATGTATTGTTTGTTCTTTGTAAGTAATAGATTTTAACTACTTACAGTATATATATATCCAGGATGGATAGCATGTGGCCTTCTAGAAGTTGTTCAGTTGTAATTCTTATATTCCTTCTCACTGGATATTCTGGGGATGGCCGATAAGAAATTGAGCCCAGGAGAAAGAAGTGGTCAACCCATAATAGCTTCTGTTTTAATGCAGGCATAAACTGATTGGCCAGTCTTCCAGACAATGTGTCATATCTGGAAAAAAAGTAGAATGGAGTGGTGTCCCTCCTAAATGTCAGCGTAAGTAGTGTCATATTTTTTTAGCTAAATAATTATTCCAATGTGCCTCCTTTCCAAAGTCATATCATATCATATATATTTTGTACTTCTGTAAACAGGCATGTCAGGAAATTCAGAAAATGCCACTATTCTGGAGGGTGCCAAGGTTCAGCATAATTGCTTTAGTTGGGGATATGAAGCATGTTCATCTTAGTTGGTGATATCACTGTCAAAAGTGGGGTCCAATCTACCATTAATGTCTCTTGTGCAGGCTGCACTCCAGCTAATGAGTCTGATGTTAGAGTGCAGCAGTGCAAACACAATGTAATTCTATGGGGTATATGTACAACATGTTCTTGGTAGATTATCATAAGATCGTACAATGATCTTAATTGCTTTATATATATTCTCAATATGGAAAAATTATTAAAAATTTGTGAATAAATTAACTTTGTATGTATACATACAGGGATTAAATCTTTCAATCTAAAGAAATATTTGCACAAAATAATTATTATTAACCTTCTACCCCATTGGGAATTGATTAAATAATATAAATAAAAGTAAATAAATAAATAAATAGTTATTAACAAAGAAATTTGTGGCAGCTTAGTCTAATCATTTTTAATGTGGCATAAACAATCATGAACACAACTGTGCTGCAATAAAATTATTCTTTAAAATGCTAAAGAATTGTAGATATTCTTGCAATTAAATCCAAAAGTCATATTATTTGCCTGAATCCTTTTTTATTTTGGATTTTGTAGCAGCTTGTCATATCTAGGGAAGGTGAGATATGGCTTAAATTAAAACATAATGGACTTTTCATTGGAGGGGATATGCATGTTAATCAAATTTTATCTTAATGGGATAGAGTTGCACTTTTACGTACTATAATTAGTATGCACTGGGAGATCTATTGTCTACAACCTATCAGAAAAATCAGATCATTTCACAGCCTTTAGCACAGGTTTGGAGAACCTGTAGATCTCTAAATTGTACGTTGTTCAAAAACAGTTCCCATTATCTAAGGCCACTGCCAAGGATGGCTGGGCCTGATAAGAATGGGAGTCCAGCAGAATCTGGAGTCCAACGGTACCATTTCCCACCCCTCTTTTATCTGGTAATTTAGTATCCTACTCTCAAAGAAAATCACACAGGTTCTTTTGATTGCAATGGCTGATCTAAAATGCTAAAAGAGTAGATGGCTGTGTGTGAGCAGCAGGTGCCTTGGTCCAATGGGGAGCATCTGTTTTCAACATCCTCCCACTGCTGACAGGGGGCTGGGTTGGAGGGCTACAGTTGGGGAGTCTGAGGCCCAAGCAGACTGTGATCAAGCCATAGTGCAGATGTGGTATTAAATGACAAACAGAAAATAACAAAGTTCAGAAAAACCCAAATATCCAGTTCCTTCAGTCAGTCATTTCTTCTATTTGCATCACAACATCCTACATCAATTAAAGCTCAGTTCAGACATCCAAAAAAAGAGAAAAATGTGCATGCCACAACTCTCTTGATAAATGACATCAGTCAATCAAAACACACTTGAAGCAAAACATGCCTCTTGGTCATGGAGGAAAACCTTCATCTGTTTTCAGCTTTGGTGGCCTTCAGTATTTAATTTCAACAATGATTTTTTTTTTCTCATGTTGATTCTCCCCAAATGAAACTGATTACTTTCTTCTTATTTGTCCTTCAATTATACTTTTCCTAATCCAAGATTCCCAACCAGCAAAGTTTTTAGATGAGTGAAAGTGGCCTGACTTCCTATTTTTTAAAATGTTTTCCTTTTTCTGTATGTTCTTGAAACAATATCAGAGAAAGTGTGAGAAATTACATCACAGATAGTTACACAGTGTTTTTAAAAGGAGTGTACTAAGACTTGCCTGATATGCAATTGCTAGCAAAACCCTTAAAAACAGAGGGCTCCATTGTAGTTCTTCATTTACAGTTGCAGTTGCCACAGCAGATTATGATGCTCCAAATAACATTTGTGTTTTTCCTTTAACTGTTTTTTTGATAGACAATATTACATTAGAGTCATGTATAGTGCAAATATTCCAGGTTTTATATTCATACTGTAATAGTAACAGGAGGGAGGGAGTGGCCCATGTTAACAGCGGAAGACTTCATTCACATGGTTCATTTATCTTTCATATATAACCTCTACTTTTCTCTAGGAATCTTATGTTCATCACCACCAAATATTCCCCATGGCAAACACACTGGAAAACATTTGGAAGATTTCTTCTATGGGACAGCTGTAACATATACGTGTGACAAAGGATATCCCCTTATTGGACATGCCTCTATCTACTGTACTACTAAGGACGGGACAAATGGAGAATGGAGTGGCCGTGTGTATTGTGGAGGTGGGTTTTCATGTTCCAATCCTTGGTTCCTGTGCTGCTCCTCAAGCAAGAACCATTTAATATCAACTGCTAACTGGGACCATTTAAAAATACTCCTGCAAACATTTCCCTGGGGACCCCACACTGACAAACTAGCTACCCCTATTACTCAACCACCCACATTGAACCAATCAGGCCATGACACTGGTGCAGAGTGATTCTGATTCTTTCTCTTCATCT